GAGAGAGAGAGAGAGAGAGAGAGAGAGAGAGAGAGAGAGAGAGAGAGAGAGTGAGAGAGAGAGAGAGAGAGAAAGAGAGAGAAAGAGTATCAGGATATCCTTTCACACAAGTAAATGGGTTGACCCTTCGTGGTTTATGAACAGTGGATTATTATTACGGTGGTTTGATCCTTGCGAGAGATCCTTGCAAAATGATCCTTTGAGATTGTAAACTACCTTAAGCTCGCCACAGATTACAGGAAGTGAAGACTACTTGCTGCGTATAGCGAGTATCTCCCTTATGAATATCTAATATGCTGGTGAAAATTTAGAATTGTATTATGTAGGAAGTTAATTTGTGCGCAGTTGATTTGCATAATCGTTTTTGCATAATTCAGAAAGGTAGGTAAAAACGACCACCCCGATCGTCTCTCTTCAGATCGTCGGGTTGAGGGTTCAAGATCGAGAAGGTTTTTTGAAAAGTGTTAAGTAATGCTTCTCGTAATATGCGAAAAAAAATTTCAGAAGATTGAATTTTTTTACATTACTCTTGACTCTTGACGAGTACTTAATTCATACTCGATTTTTTTCTTCCCGAGAGATTTTTCATATATAAATATTGTCGTAAGGCATAAGGCGAGTTTGTCATTGATAATATCGTGTCGATAATTAATATTTATTACATTTAATTACAGTGAAAGAATAATATTAGCTCGATATTATTGAGTGAATTATTACCTAATAATAAGAATTCTATAAGAGCTTTATGCATTCATATATATTTCTAGAGATTTAAAATGTGGTTTAAAATAATAAATATAATAAATTGCACATTATAATTGCAATTAATTAAATAATACGTGTATAATATAAATAAATTAAAAGTTATCAATCTTTAAATGTGTGATGTTGCGCCACCTTGCGAAAGATCAGATCTTTATATTTGCCGCGCACTATTTGAATATATCATCAATCACAAGAAATAATATTAAATTTGTCCAAGTTTCTGTAAAATAATCTTGTGATAATTTTCTTAAACAAAAATAATGGTATACTCTGATATTCTTCGTAAGTATTAATTGACCGATATTTGTCATAACAAATCTTTACATAATTATAAAAATTACAAATATATATTTATATATAATTTTTTTATAAGTTTATTTTTTGGTTTTGAATTACGAACTTATTTTCAATATTTCAAGATTTTGAAGCATTTAATTTCAATATTTAGTTAAATATTTAAATATTTAAACATGTAATAATAAAGTAAATCAATTTTAAGTTTAAATAAGTCGACTTACTACTGTGATCAGAGTTATTTGGTATTTAGATATTTCAATATTATTTGTACTTTTGTTTCAATAAATTTACAAAAATAAAACATTAATGTAATTATGATTGATTTACTTATAATTTATTTAATTTATTAATTAAATGACATTTTAAATTCAACTATTCATTTTTCAATTTGAAAGCTTTATTGTTATATAACTTTATTGCATTATTAAAAGTACAGTATTTTCTATATTTTGTTTAATTTACATATGTGCTGTTATTAAGTATATTACATTGTACTTATCATTTATATATTCTTTCCTGTTGAAGTCAACTTTATTAGTTCATGCAAGCATTTTAGACATGTAGGGCCCATCAAGTTCGTAACCTAACTTTCTGTAATAATTACGTGTACCAACGCCTATAAAAAAAATCAGCATCATTATTATGATTTTCTAAATATTTAATCCATTTGATTTAATAATTAATGTAAAAATAAATATGAGGCAAAAATATTTTTATATTAATATGTACCTGAAATTACGGAAATTTTACGAGATTTATGTTCCTCTCTTGCGATTCGTTCAGCTTCCTCCATTAACAGAATGCCAAAACCTTGATGTTGAAATTTTGTAGGATCCCGAGAACTAATAGGTACAACACTACCATAAACATGAAGTTCTCTTACTATAGAAGTATTTTCTTTCAATTCTGGTCTAGAAGAAATAAAATTGCTTTAATATACAGTTTTTATTTGGATTGATGCATTGACTCTGATATAAGAGCGGTAGACTCATAGTTGGCGAGTTTTGGGTCTAATTTTGATCTTTATCTCATCTTTATTTATAATATATTGATTAAAAATTAAGAGATTATTAGAGATATTCTTTCATATATACATATACATATCAAGTCAGTGCCTATTAAAATGTGCCTTATAAAAAATCCTGAGAATTCTTTTTCAGGTACTTTTATTCCAAATAAAATTAAAGAATTTTTAAATGCAACTTTGAAAAAGTTTACTTTATTATGTATATTTTTAATGTTTTCTAATCATAAAAAGAACCATTTACTTGTTAGTATTTGAATAATGTTTTGGCTTAATTATTCTAAAGTGACTTTAAATTTTCTTTATAAAATTCCTATTAATTACATGCTAATATATACAGATGTGTATTGGTTGTTAACTTGAATAATTGATGGATTACTATTATCTTGCATCATAAAAGTAAATTATCAACAATTTTTTTGAAGGAGCAGAATTTAAATTTAGAAATAAAATTTGCTGCACTGAATTGTAACGAAATTCTATGATATTCGCTAAATTTCAAGAATAAGAAAAAATTCCCTGAAAATTCCAGGTTTTCCAAGTTCTAGGCAATGGACATCTTTTATGTATATTTTTTATACATTTTTTATATATCTTATATGTATATACATTTTTTATAAGAGATATATGAGTTTATATAAAAGTTATATAAAAGATTCATTTAATGAGAGTTTTGAGTTTAAAGAACTCATATTTCATAATAAATTCGTACATAAATTTGTTGTATATTAAAAAAATTTGTCTTTCAAGTTTTGAAAATTACACATAAGAATTAATAAAATTATATATGGAATTGATCGATATCAAGGCGTGAAAATCATACCTAAATGTGCCATCAGAGCATTTCCTTAATCTGAGTAATCCGATTAAAATATCTTGTAACGGATCTTCATATGACAGAAACGTTTCCCATCCCTCATTAGCTACATAGTCACGTCGTATAAGCTCAACTTCATAAGGTTGCACTTTGTGATGTATTTCTTGAATCCCTACTTCGCGCGTCCTAACATCACGGCATTCTGTATTCATATCTTTCATTCTTTCTAAAGCTAATTCACGTAAATTTCCATGCTCTACACCGGAGCTATTTTTTTTTTAGAAGAAGAAAGAATATACATTTTGTTATCTATTGTGACACATTATTTGCTTTCTTGTATGATGATATATTTACCTTACTAATGGCATTGGTATATCACGCTGTACACGATAAACGCGAGTCCATGGTGGTATTAAAGCTAGAATACGAGCTATAAAATCAACTAATACACTGGGTGGATAACTTTTATATCTGCCAGTTTTCCATAATTCATACAAACCAGTACCACGTATAACCAATGTTGGATAAATTTTTAATCCATCTGCTCGAAATGCAGGATTCTTAAAGAATTCCTAAAAATTTTATAAAAAAAATATAGTTTTTTTA